CATTTCCCCTCATCACTTCGGAGCGCTGTCTAGTAATGTGCCTGAGAGCCAATGGTTTGCAAAAGGCCTGCAATCTAGAGGCAGCACGACTGCCAGCCATTGGCTGGCTACGCCACCCCAAGGCGGCTCCTCAAACCCGCCTCTCTTTGCCTGTCAAACCCGCAGACATGAACATGAACATTTGTCCCGCAAAAGCCGTTCATGAGAGACTGGCGAATGCCACAGCCGAGCGTCCCGTGTGGACTCAGTGCACTCTGGCCTACCTCTATAACAGCACCTCGAAGGCCTTCGGTATCGAAATGATCAAAGTATTGCCGTTCACTGCCTGCCAGGGCGAAGACTTCTACTGGCCCCTGCGAGACAGAATGTTGCTTTGCGTGGTTTCTATGGGGGAACAGCCTCTCAACTGTCAGCACTGGACTGATGCGGCTCTTGTGCAGTGCCAGCGAGCCAGCACACTTCAGTGGGAGCTGGTGGGACTGGCTCCGGCCTGTCGCAGTAGCTCAGCCTACAAATGGTTCCTCCGGGTGTTGCCCTGGTAAAGACCCCTTCGCTCAGTGTTGTTTTACCATTGGGGCTCTCGATCCCCCGCCCGCTCTCTTTGTGTGCAAATATTCAAACCATATCCGCATTCTGCACTGTGATGAGGTTTCTTTTAACACTGCCCCTCCCATCCCGCACACACACAGGCCATGTTCTATTTCCAGCATCCCCTATGTTAACTACAATATGTGATAAGCTCTGACATTCCTGACGCATTACTCATTTACAGAACGAAAAAGATTATTTAATCATTTTTCTTATGGTTGCCAGCCGCCTTTGTAGCGAGGGGATGGAGAGGGAAGGGATTGACGTTTATGGAATTGTGACGCAAGGCAACGTATCTCTTTCCCACTCCCAATTAAAAACCTTGAAAAGGGCATTTTGCGGTGACACGACTGTTCCGTAGGGTGTTTTGACAGCTTTTGAATAATTCATAGTGACCCAATTGTGAAAAACTCGGGTCAATATGAATTATTCAAAATCTGCCACAACATCTATGAATTATGTGAGCCTGATAGTCATCTGGTGGATTCTAGGTGAATTATTTAGGAAATCCTGCCTGTGCAGTCAACTTATTGTATCAGATTTGGTGGATTCCAGACGTTGCAGTAGGTTGGGCGGGTAAACTTGACCCAAATGTGATTAAACTCACGTCGTCCGTCGGGGCCTCGTAGCTCAAGTGGTTAGAGCGTTGGCTGTACTAAGGCCTTCCCTTTACTGCGTGAGTTCGAATCCCACCGAGGCGCCGAATTCTTCACAGTTGGGTCAATATGAATGTTCCGTAAGGATGGAATTCGTACAGTTCCATCCTGATTGAAGATCAAGTTGACTAAGACTCCTCACAAATGGCGCATGCTACCCAGTCCTGGAATGTGTACTCGTGGCCCTACGGACCTCTTTTCTTCTCGGTTACACAATTTCGTTTCCATTCCACTAGTGTCCTCGCAAAATGTTCCTGACCGATTCGATGAACTACAGTCTGAGTGGTCCTCAAATATACAGCAGGTTTAGCTCTTAACCAGATGACATTTTGACGATGGACATAAAGCGGTTTTTAAAGACGAAGAAATATGCCACATAAATTCATATTTGACCTTCTGATTTTCATCCTCTCTGAGCAGGCCTATTCGATGCCGTAGTAATGTCCGGTGCTTGTTGTTATTCTTAAAGACCATCGTATTCCAAACTGTCTTCAGACATCCCCGCTATACCCGTGCCCTACCCTTGGTTTAAGTTCAGGTTTCCTTCTCTGATCGATATTTTAGGATAAAGTTTTTGGACTAAATATCTCGTCTTTCTCGTCTTCCCCTTCCTCATGGAAATTAGTTCCAACCTTTTTAATTACGTCGACATATATGAACATTTTTGCGGATCCTTACCGCTTACACATGAGTCTGGCCGACGATGGGTACCTTGCCGGTAGTTATAAAAGGTTAGACACATCCATAGCATCCGATTCGGGCCCTGTGGCCCAGCATGACCTTAAGTGGGGTCCTACACTCATGTTGAATGCGAGACTACGTCTGATCCCCTAGTCAATTTATTGACCCTGATCTTGGCAGAGCGAGAGAGGGGGGAAGAGAAAGCATGGTCGATCTCGTCCAGAATTTCTTTTCCGTAATTACTTTGATGACCTTTTGAGCTACCATGGCTTGTTAAAGAGTCCCGAAACAGCAGCTCATCAACTGGAGAGACAATCCACTCCTCCGGGTCAACCGCACGCTTACGTTATGAGCATGCTTGTCGTCGCCCACTTTATCGACATCTCGCTTAATATGCACTCAAGTGGATTTTCCAGAAACGTCAAATCCGCTACTTACTAACATCGGATCACCACGCACAGTAAAGTCTAACAGGTACTGGACTTCATGTTAAGTAGCTTCCTCCTACACAATGCTCAGCGGACGAGAGATTTCGCGTACTTTTTACTTTTGGGGGATATCGGGACGCATTGAGGATGTTGCGGTGCAGACTATGTTCTCATTCCGGTAATCTGGGACACCCACCTAATTTCCTAGGAATTTAACTAGCATTTGCTTGAGTTCTGAGAGGATACCTTGTTGCCTACTGTAATGAGTCACCGAAGTGAGGGTCACAGAAACAAACTCGAAGCTCTGATGTTCTGCCTGAGTACAGTTTTCTCAGGATTCCTGTCGGGTGTTTTTTGGTCTGAAGAGAGCTGCATGATCGAAGGTCATCAGATTCGTTTTTATTTTTGTTGTCTAACCTTTAATTTAAAGGACCTCCGCAATATACACAAGTTCCTCCCTCCTCCCCCCCTGAACGTTCGACTGTCTGTTTGCAGGCCTGTTGAACACTGCTGCCTAGGAAACAGCGAAGATTGAGTCGCGCATAATACTATCTACTTATATGTATAAGTAAGCATATTTGCGACAACATTATTCAGCAAACGCTACCTCTCGTGAAGTAGGCACGATCGATGGAGCATGCGATTTATTCGCCTGGCGTTTCGGATTCCAGCTCGAACCTTTCATCAGAGACAATAGCAGATACTAATAAAGCTCTTATTCCAGCGATCTTGTCTACTTCCTTACGACTGCTTCCTGGGACTCGTCTTTTCGCTTTCATCGGTCAACCCTACCTCTGCCGACAAATCATTCTGCAATATAGGGTTGGCGTCCTCAGGTTCCTTCCAAATCCTCGTTCCTGGACACACAGTGACAGAATACGAAAAGACACGCGTTTCCAAAATGCACGCGAATGGAGGACAGACCAGAACACAAGCTTCTGCCTGTAGTGAGGTGCAAAGAAATCCACCAAGCAAAATTCTTTCCAGGAGACTGCAAATTACCCAAGGGCCTAAGTAACAAAAGGCAGAGACTTACTGTTCAACCCAAACACGATTTCTGGTCGTTTAGGTTGATTTATGAGGATGAAGATGCATTTCTTAATATCACTATGAGTATCACAGATGTCAAAGGCAGACAAAATGTTTCTGGGTAAACTATCCGTTCGACGGTCGTAAGCGATAAGGTCCACCGTGTACCTCACAGAGTGGCCGCAGCACAACCGACTTGCATGAGAGCTACCTTACAATGAGGCAGACTTTCGCACCGTCTATCGTACTCCCTCGTCTCCCACCGCTCTTGCTCCGATGACAGGGCAGTGTCAAGGCGACCGGAAGTGAGAGGGGACCCACTGGCTGACCAAGCTAAACAGTCCATCCATGCACGCCACACACAGGACCTGATCCCCGTTGCACGTGTAGCAGATTACAACAGGGAGCGGCCTGGCTATCGCATCAGTAAGAATACCATGAGGACCAGATTAGGAAAAAACCATTGCGGCCTGAATCCCAATCCTCCGGACAATACTCGACATGATGATCGAGTTATCTCGTCAGGTGGAAACCTCCCATGCCACGGCTGATAGGACGTCATGATAGGTTCAAGTGTGTTAGATTTACTGTAATCAGGCATGCACTGATTTGCTGTGTGAATGGATTCTCAGCCATGGCCTCTCTCCCATGGCCCAGTCGACTGTCTGAGCCTGTCTGAGAATCCTATGCCATGGAAGACACAAACTAACTTTTTCCATTTAGTCTCTACAACGACAACACGTGTAAACATCCAAGTATCACAGCAAAAGCTCCTAACTACATTGATGTATATAATCAACCTTTCGCAAGCTCGGTTTATCAGTCATGGTTTGACTTGTCAAAGGATGCCCGTATTCGCTTCGGTGTCAGATATAGGCAGCAGACGGCATCTGTGAACTCAGTTTGGTAAGTTGACATAATGCGGAGGCGATCATAACAGGCCGTTCTACGTCTTCTTAGACATATAACTTCTAAATATGTAAAATTTTGAGATAAATGCAGATAACCAGTTTAGCTTCCCTTCTCCTTCTCCAGAAATGAATCCCTCAAACCTAAAAGTAATTCAGTACATAAGATTTTTTGGAAACCGGAAAGCCGGACTTTGACAAAGATACTGTTTATCTGCCGCAATAAATGCGTAATCTCCACCAGTATGCCTCTATGAAATAGTATGTTTTTACTGAAGAATATCGGACTGAAAAAGTTTCCAGGCTCGGCTGTGACAAAGGCGTTCAAAATGTGACTTTCAGGGCCAAAGTTCAAAAAAAGCTAATGAGACCCCACTGCTCACTTTCCTCCAGCGTCCGCAAGTAAAGAATCCCCCGCAGAGTATCTTAGTGAAATTGTGCGGGTACTACGTGTCTCTGACCTGAACTCTCTTGAGAACTGTTTCAGCGCTCTGCATGTTTGTGCGTCTACGCATGTAAGTTTACTGGTCTCTTTCTGGCACTCAGACGTCCAGAACTTGCATGTGTACCAATGAGGTCACTTTGAATGCCCGCCTGCGCACTGTTACTCATAGGTTGCTTGTGCAGCACCCCACCCCCCTCCCCTAGCAAAAGTTGCAACTTCAGCATTCCTCACTCAGAGTGAACGACAAGCAGGGCGGAGAAACAGCATGCCAGCGACCAAGGCTATTGTAAAGAGCGCCGACATGGCAGAAGAACAACAGCAGAGCGCGGTAGATCTCGCAGCGGAGGCCCTAGCAAAGCATGGGCTTGAGAAGGACATCGCTGCTTTCATCAAGAAGGAGTTTGATAAGCAGTTCGGTCCGACTTGGCACTGTATTGTTGGGAAGAATTTTGGAAGGTTGGTTTGGCAACTATACTTGTCATAGTCAATTTCTGTATACTTTTTATGCCACTTCTGAGACTACTTGAGAAGTCTCCCTTCCGTCCTTTTACAAACGGCTACTTTTATGTCTACCGTGGGTACAGCAGAGAAATAGGAAATACAAAATTAGTAGTGTCAACGCTGCCTGCACAGGGATGCCAGCCAGAAAGCAAGGACTGATAAGGTTGATTTTGAACATATCAGGCCTCGAATCGTTGTCGGTGAGCGTTCATTTGGATTGCTTTAAACTAATGTGACCTCCAGTGAGTTCATTTTGAGTGCGTGGTGGGAACTTGGGTAGTGTGGTGTGAACAGTTCACTACTCGGGTTACCTCGTTAATGTCATCTTCAATTTTATCAGCGAGAAGGACAGTGACAAAACTTTCCAGGGAAGATAAATGTCGCCTTAACTTCCATTGCCATGATTTAGTTGTATGGCATACAGACTGAAGCGGAATCAAGTGGGAGTCGCGTTCGAAAGTACACTCTGACATCCGAAGGGAATAGAAGTCCAGTCCGCTGTCTTTGATCTTGGTGGGATCGGATATTCCCCCTCGCAGCCGACAGAATGGCGGCACGACGGCGCAAGTGTCCAGGAGGTTCCAATGAAATGCCTCATGACTCACTCCAGACGGGCCTCAGAGCTCGGGTGCTGCAGCACCTGAGGATGGGTTTCACTGGCCAATAATGGCAACTTTGCCAGAAACATCACTCCTAATATTATTGCCTTTGTGAAAAATAGTTGCGGATGTAAGTGGGCGCTTTTAATGAGATTTATTTTATTTAGGCGAATTTTAATTAGCTTTGTCTAAAAGCGTCTGTGGAAATCTGCATTTCAAGGCAAGTCCTGAGGAAAAATCTTTGCTCCCTTTCCAGGGGAGTATATAGAAAACATTTGAGTTACTGGCTTGTTTTCCGTCATCTTCTTAGAACGCAATGCATATCATGGCGTAAGTAAAGTGTTAGTCTGGGTTTTAAGTAGTTCACACATAGTAGGCGAAAGATTCGAAATTTCGGTGCGTGCAATTGGTTAAACAAATTTTATTATCATTAACATCATGTGGATAGGGTTACCTTTTTGTTGACACTGGGTACTACACGAGCAAGGCACTTTACATAACCTGATCGCGAGTTCACGCATGGCTCTCATAGAAAGCCCCACTGATCAAAGGTCAATTCACACCGTGTTTGTCAAAACCTGGGAAGATGTCAAAAGAGCCTCATTTATCCGTCCACCGTAAAGAACATCCCTTTATTAAATTTGAGACATATGTTGGTGAATCCACCAATATTTTGTTTCAGTCGCACATCATTAGAATGTCACTGACAAACTATACAAATAATAACCTGACTTTCCTGCGATCCACCCAATCAGTGAACTCCACACTTATTGGCCGCCCGCTAGGTATCTTATCTTGTTACAACGAACGGAGGTCGATTTGGCGCATACCAAACTTCGACTTGGGGAGCTCTTTTGTAGAAGCAGTTAAATTTCGCTCAGCAATTGGAAGTTTTTGTTCCAGAAAGACAACCTACGAAGCTAGAATTGACCCCTAGAGGCGATGTACAAAGTGGTTGAAATCTCGAATAGCTTCCTCGACCATCCACTCAAAAGTCCTACAACATAAGAGAATCAAACAGGATTTTAAGAACTCTTCCAAGTCTATCGATTTTGCCTTGATCAGTTTCTGCCCATTTTCCTTTGTTGAACGATTTACCATGCTGACAGCACAGGTACTAGCTAAAAGTCCAGACACCTGTTTTACTGATATTCTGCTGATGAATGACACTACCGAGAGGGGTTCGAAATATCAGTGAGTCTTGCAGTGTTCCCTTTATGCTCTTCTGGTAGATATTCTAGTTTTGAAATTGTGGCTTTTCAACTTTCCCATAAGTTACTGAGCTAACCTGCAACAAAACATTTAGATTAAAACTTGAAAGACTCGGTCCCTTGTCTTGATTTCGTGTTGCTGACTAATTTGGGCCTTACTGAAGATGATGAGGATGAGGCTGGTGGTGGTGGTGGTGGTGGTGGTGGTGGTGGTGGTGGTGGTGGTGGTGGTGGTGGTGCCAGTGGTGGTGCCAGTGGTGGTGCCAGTGGTGGTGCCAGTGGTGGTGACTCGCCTGCAGGTTCATTCAGACGGTTGAGAACGATCGATGCAAGCTCTGGACTAACTGTTCGAGTGGGTGGCTCATCGGCTTTCCCGACGAGTATGATGTTTTTGAGGTCATTTTCGGTCGACCTCATTACAGTCTGCGCCAACCTCAAAACAATCAGCTTATTCTGAGCTTTGCGAAGACAAGGTCTGATTAAGCTTGTGTGCCGGTAGCTAAACTGGAATTTCAGCATCACGCCTCTAGTTCAGACCTTTTGATTTTCATACTGTTTTGACACATATGATTGTTTCTCGTTAGTTGAAAGCGTAATCAGTCTCTCCTGTAGATTGCTCTTCATGAGAACTGGAATTCAGTTCCCGTGTTGCAATTTTGTTGTCTGCTTATCTGTGTTCTAAGAAGATTCTGCCTAATCCGTCTCATCAAACTCCTGTCCAAATCCACCAGAACTTACGTAGGTGTAAACTGCAGTAATCGACCTCGAAATGTGCCACAGAGGCCCTACAATTCATTATGGAGACGCCAGAAGGTTTAACGGGGGAGATAATGCTGGCGGACTTGGCTAACGTGTCTGTAGGTGGTTAATGACCTGCGCGTTTCCCGTTGGCAGGGCAACTGTTCATTTCTTTTTTCAGGCCGTCACTAGGTCTTATTTATTCCCGCGGTCTTAATACAAGTGAAATGAATGCAAAAACCGAGTGCTCGACAAGGCCACACTTCAGTCTATGTTTTCGTCGAGAGTTTCTTCTTGATTGTTAGTCTAACGTTGCTCTAAAAGCAGGCAGCAACTAAGAGCTCGGTCACAGTATTTGCTGATTTCCCGTTGTTGCATGGTGAAAATAGGAAAGAGTCGGTTCATCAGTTGATCTCCCTGCGTAGTCCGTTTGGTTTTAAGCACTTAGCCACTCCATTTCTCCAGTGCTACGTTTTTGGGCTGAACACAAGAATATGGACCATCCCCTCCCAACACTAACCCCTTGAATTCCACTTAGAGCTATTCGCTATACGGCGATCACATTCTTGAGCCCTACCCAATGTGCGGATTCGGCCCAAACATTGGTGCCGATCATTGAGCCGAAGCAAATTAACTTCAGTGGCAGCGTTCTAACTTGCTTGAGGCGCATTGTTGGCTTAATGCGGCTGTTTATCTCCATCCTCTTTTTAGTAGACAAAACAGTGCCGAATAAATATAACTGTGAGCCCCTATGCATCGTAAATGCAGGGCATCTAGTTAACGATGGCGCATGCCCCCTGGGTTATTTTGCTGATTGCTAAACGTCCGATTTAGAAATTTCAATAACTGCTAATTTTGAAGTTTCTGATGCCAGAAATGCATTTAAAATCAGAAAACTTCGGGCTGTGCTTAGTTTTCTATTGCAAAAGCCAGAAACTGACCGCTTGCAGTCTCCTGTTGCGCTTTTGACCACGTCATTTGCATTGAACTTCGTCCATAGTTTATTAAAAAGGTCTGACTCCTTTGACGTTAAACCCTGCTGTAGGCTCAATGGCACTGAGTACTAAAACTGTTCCCACCATTGTCGCCTCCATAAAGTCTAGGCGTTCTAATCTTTCCGTCGATAGTATAGACAAGCAATCTAGAGATATAATATTTTTACGGGGATCCCATCCTCCACTCCGGTTTGGGAGGTCCTCCTTTACGTTGTCATTCAACGACAGCTGAGGAGTGTTCGCATGGATGAAACAAAGATTGGACATTATGTCATGGGCTATCTCAGAACTGGTCGGAAACACTCGAGTGAAGACAGACTAAAGAGATTTCAGCCGGCCAGTCCCTATGTACTCTGAGATAATATCGTCTGGTCTGACATCGAATTCAGGCGTTAACGGTGGAAACGGACGTATGACACTGGTACTTGTAGAGACTGATAAAATCTAACTGAAATTCTAAAAACAAATCGAAAACTTGGTGCGAAAAGTTCTAAATGAAATGGGAAAGAAACGTGTGAAAAGCATTGACATGATTTCAGTAGGTTAACATGAAGGCAGGCGACGTAGTACTTCACCTGCAAACTTTAACGACACAGAGTACACAGGGGTCAAATTGGCCTCAAAGTCAACCCGCAGTCTGTGGCAGAGGCGGCGAAGTGAAACTTGCTTAAAGTTCACGAAAACAAAGCGGGTTCATGAGATTGCAAGGTCGAGAGCAAGACAATGCCTGCAAGTCCAAGCCAGTTCTGCAGTGCATAGTGGTTGGGGGCAGAAATGTCGTCCGCGTTGCCGTCGCCGTCGTCTCCTCCTCAGCAGGCTGAGACATCATCAGTCTTGCACACTGCAATAGTAAAGCACTTTGACATGGATGAAGAGGGCGTCAGGATCGCCACGCAAACAGCCGCCGAATTAATGGAGAGTGAAACTAGTCTGGTTACTCTGGCAGAGACCTTAAAGAAGAAGTTTGACGAGCTCTACGGTCCCCGGTGGCACTGTGTTGTTGGGAAACCTTTTGCCAGGTAAGAACCTCTTGCCAAGCGTAAGTAAAGACAATTTCCTTGCCAGTCATCGCCAGACTACGTTGTCCATTTGAGATAACTCTGGGACACTTTGGAGTTGTCTACCATGAAAACCTATGCCCGCCTTTCATCGACCAGCCTTTTCAGGAATCGTGAAAGCAAAACTGGTGCCCGAGTGTAAGTAGGCCACCGATGAGCCCTAGATGTCTCCCCAAGTGACTATGACAGTTTCTGCTGCAGGCGAATAGTCATCACTTGCTTTTAGTCTTCTTTACGTCTCCCATGTAAACGCCTGACTGTTTCTCCTAATCGTCTCAAAGGAATTGAAGATTCTCGTTGGCAAATTTTTTCCCCTTTGACCCAACTGTGGAAATCTCGGTGCCTCGGTGGGATTCGAACCCACGCAGTAAGGGGCGGTTTTAGTACAGCCAACGCTCTAGACACCTGAGCTACGAGGTCTCACCGAACGATGCGAGTTTTTCCCGACTTTCACGATTAGGGTATGTTTGTAATCGGTTCCTCCCATAAAGGCTTAAAAGTTCATGCGGTCATGCTGTTTTGAATAAACGTTTCGAAATAAAAAAAACCCTACCAGCTCATGAAAATACACCTTAGACAGTCCTAGCGGAAGACCCTAAAACGTATGTTGAAATAATTATGCATGCCTTTCGTGGGAAATGTTGCCAACAGAGGCTTCTTGTGCCGGTACTTGTAGAAGAAAAGTAAACTGAGCTCGTTGACTCTGGGACAAAGTTTTTGCTAGTTAATTTGATGGAAAAACCGTGAAAGCCCATGTTTATGATAGTACAACTGAGTGAACAGAAGGAGCTTTTAAGGAACGCATGCATACCTCGGCATCTATAGTTCTTGCGCCATTTGCCTACTCTATCGACGACAAGAAAGTGAAATTTTACTTTTTCACGAGGTCTTTGCATCTCACTCTTCCTCTAAATAAACGGTCTGCGCTGGATTTTGCTTTAAGAATGCTCTGAACTCATTTTCACAATGGCCCTACCATTAAAAATATTCTATGTTAGGAGTTTGGGCAAGTGACCAGTACTTACCGTTGTCATGTAGAAAAGATACTTGCGAAATATATGTCGAACAACAGAGTAAACACCAAAATAGTACAGACACAAAGTTCCGGATGTGATCGCATCGCATCTCTCAGACAGCGTTACTTCCATACATCAATGGTAATTGTCGCTCTGGCGACACTTGCGCAAAGTCTCCCCCACTGGATGGCGCTAAAGATTTAAATCGTATGCAGATAAGGAAATCTCCCTTGTATTGTGGCTTTATATCAAGCTTGGAGACGGCTCACCAGCTCTAAAGTACCTCAGTTGAACTGCGGTGATAGTTCGTCCGTTACAAATTTCGATGACCACCGTCGTCTAGCGAAGGAAGTGGTGGCTTGCAGGCGAATCATTGCGAGAAGGACTTGCACAGAACTGCACGCAATGTATTATGGCATACGTATTCTACCATATTCCCGACATAGGTGCTAACTAAAAGCACAGACACGTGTTTCTCCGATATTCCGCCGCTGCGTGACACAGTTGCGAGAGTTTCGACTCCTCAGTGGGTCCCCCAGCGTCCCCTATGCGGTTTCTGGTATATGAACTCCGGAGAAGAATCCAGCGAACAATTTCAGCAATTATTCAGTGCAGGACAGGGAGTTGAGTCTCTGGGACGAGACATTTGGTGGTTATTTCCCAGTAGTTGATTGTCTTCGACTTAAATGTTCGTTAGAGATTTCAGATCTGGCCCTAAAAAGTCATGTCCCGGAGACTTAAATCTATGTCCTGCACTGAATAATTTCTGAAATTATTCGCAATGCATTGTATAGATTGGTTCAAATAGACATAAATTTTGCATGTCTATGTTCATTTGCTCTTATAAAAATGTTTGGTGCATTAGCGTGTCTCATGCCCAGGCACTTCAATGATTCTTTCCCCACTGGTTTACCGTGTCTAATAAACAACGAACAAGGATAGGTCAATGTATACATAAACATACGTGAACATCTGGGTGCATTTCAATTTATCAACACGTATACAGGTGTTTACATCATCTATATTTTATATACAGCTCTATGCGACATGTGCTATCCCATGAAATTGTACCCGAAATTTTGAAATATGTTTTTTTATCCAGAACGTTGACTTAAGTGGGATTGTCATATTCATTGTCATATTGCATAATCACAAAACGTTTTAGTCACCCCAAGATGCCGGCTTTGAAATTTGCTTTTTTACAGCCGCCTGCAAAACTGCACTCTGAAAAAAATGACTACCTATACGGTGCGAATTTTTCCCCTTAATTTTCGATAACATTATAAATTCAAATATATGTTTCAGAAAACAAGCACAAAAATATGCTTTTGTATTTATTTGGCAGAAGGTTATGCATTCTTTAAGTTTAACACTTAAACGAAGATTAATATTCAGTTCAAAAAAGTTTTCATTTCCGGATAGTTTTAAGCCCGACTTGCGATTACACTCGCATCCAGGGTTTTCCAACCACAAACTGTATACTTTCCGTGTAGAGAAAATCACGAGTTTCTATACGCTGTTACGAAGATGTCAAACGGGACTCATAAATTTTTGAAATGAATGCCGACAATGTTTTATAATTTACAAGCAGCATTAATAGATCGGCATAAGCGATTCTTCGTGAATGAACATTGCAAGATTTCAAAAAATATTATCAGAAACTTTCTCAAACCGAGAGTTACCCCTTCTTTAAATATTGAATTTTAATAAGGGATAATTTGCAATTAAATAAGTATAAGGAAGAATAGTTTTGTGCTTGCTTTCTGCAGAATATATTTAAATTTATACGGGCACCGAAAATCAATAGGAAACACTCGTTCTACTTATGTAGCAATTTCTATACTGTAGTTTTCGCAGGGGGCAGGGAGCAAGGGCATTCAAAGGCATGCATTTGGCGTGACAATAAGTTGTTCAGATTATTCTGCATAATAATTAATATTCCAACCCTACTTGAGTAGCCGTCCCTAGTCCAAAGCACCTTCTAGAATTTCGGTTCAGATTCCATGCAATAGTATATCTACTGCGTACAGTTCCTTCAATTAACAATACATATGTGTGTGTAATATAGCTTGCATACAGCTGTAATCATATTTTGCTTTTTTTATATCGCACAGGCCAAACATTCAGAATTGTCACATTTTAAAGTAGTGGTGTCATATTGAGCATTGAAGAAGGTTGCAGTTTTGGACAACCCTGCTGTAGAACATTTAATAGGACTCTGTACTATGCAAAAACGGTCAGCGACATCGTAAATTAAACCGCATCGGAAGAAAACTCGTAGCCCGCTGAAAAATTTTGTCGACTCTCGGAGCTGACGTAAAACTAAGAGATGGAATAAATGAGATGAAGCGCACGTCTGGTGGCAAAATATTTTCAAAATTTGTATTTTTGAAAACCGATAAACTGTGTGCAATTTTTCGGACACTGCCTTCACGGCCATAAGGACCGCCAAAACAGGAGAACAATTTGCGTCTTCCAACAAATTACTGTCAGTCGAGGGTTCTCCTCTTGTGAGTCACCACAGTAATAAAAGTTGGCCGAAAGAACTGCGTCGATGACCGAGCACGTGCGTATGAGTTGCAGAAACGGCGCCATAGAAAAGTCGAAGCCACCGAACTCTGACACTTTCTGAACTAATGCTGAATCTCACTGGTGTGTCACATGTCCTACACCTACAAGAAGGAGATACCTGACTGGAGCTCTGGCACCTCACACTAGCTACAAACGTTTGTTAAAAGCATATTCGCGCACAAACAACATTACGACAAACCAGTTAACCCGCGGGTCATACGTTCCCAGCCCGCTGGTTATCGGCAACTAACGCTCTTCATTGGGAGCCCTAAATGAAGACGTCTGTTTCTAGAGGGACTTCAAGTTACTCCTGTCTTGCCTGTCATGATAACTGAACTCATCAGACAGGATAGAGATAAAGCATGAGGGTTCCAAAAACGGGTGGGGGAGACTTATTTAGAAGAACTTTCCTCACTGCGGAAGAGCTGATAGAAGTAGGTCAGAGGCCAGTCAAATAAATTGTGTTCGCAGACAACGGTTACGCCACCAGCGACAACAGTAGCCATGCTGCTTAGGACGTTGTGTCGATGGTTAGTCAGCAGAGCAGCCTAACGTGAACCTCAGTGCGTAGGAGCCCAAGGCTAGTCTTCGGGCCTAAACAACAAACCACCCAGATCAGGAGCACTCATAGTCAGGAGCGGGTCACCGAATGCTCACGCCGACGACGATGTGCTGCAACAACAAAACGACAGGTCTCCGATTGAGGACCGCTGCGCCAGTACATACGGAGTACATCGTCAGTGAGCCTACCCTCCTCCCCACCACCACCGCCTGTAGACAGGCGGCAAGTGGGATATTAAAACTGTCACTTCTTCTCTGAAGACGAAAACCCAGAAATCATCAGGACCATGGCTTCAGTGTGGGAGAAATTAAACGACAATCAAAAATGCACCCAGGTCCACGCTTTAGGCTAACTAAAGAACAGATCCCTGCTTGTTGGCCGGCTGACCCTCAGTCCTCAGCGATATTCTCGGGTCACTTAAAAGAGGGCCTGCAGCGCCGCATGGTCGGGTGCAGAGTCTTTGTGGCATTCCATGCCATTAATTGACCCGATTTGCCAGAGCCATCGGGCATGCGGAACTCGCTTGCGTTCAAATTTTATCTCCACCAATTTTGCTCCTGGTTTCTGACTGGAGTTAACATGATACCATTTGCCTCTACTCACACACCGATGCGCCAAGTGTTGGATTGCAGGTACTGAAGGGAAGGGTGCTGAGTCCTTATCTCGGAGGCCTATAATAACTCGCAGGATTTGTGACAACCCTGGCGATTTTTCTTGGATCGGTCAGATCTGGTTATGTAGCCGCACCTGAGGTTAGCAAACCCCAGCCACTTGCAAGACGAAACCGGTGGTAATAGGAGTTTTTACAAGTGGGCC